TATATTATATAGTAGTATATATATTATATATATATATTTATATATATATATATATATATATATATATATGTATGTATGAATGAATGTATTTATGTATGTATATTATATATATATATATATATCGTTACTTGACGGATTCATATGGTGTACGTGCCAATCTGATTGTATTCAAGGAGCTTGAGCTTGACAGCAGAGTTTGCCTAAGCATCGAACAGAGGCATATACATTTTTATATCAGTTATTAATTGCTATCGTAGACTTTCCCACTTACGAATCCGATTTCTTACTGTGACTAAGTTTGCGTTAAACTCGGGTAGTTTACTAGAGAGAATCACATTTTCAATCTCTTATACCAATCGAAAACGGCCCAGGTCTGATAGAAGCCGGTCAATCAAAGGTATCAAGTGTATTATGTTCAACTGACAGATTCTTCTGTATTCAATAAAATTAGAAATCCCTCTAGGCCGGTTTGCACTTTGCAGATGTGAATCTAGGCATTAGATAAGACAGTCACGCAAAGCCATACGGGCGCTGTCATTGCCTTTGCTCTACAATGGTAGGTCCCTGATTACTCTGCTTCCGCAAACCGCTTTGTTCCAGTCAGAACTCTTGAAATAAAAATGCACACTATTGCATACGACAACTATCAATAGAAAACATACCAATGACAACTATCAATCGTAAACAGTACATAAAGTTATACACATCTCAAAAATGCATACTTTTACCAAATATGTCAAGATATGCAATAATGTGTACAAATAGAAACAGTAAATAAATACTTTATTGCATCCGATATGATCAGTCAAAACTCAAAAGTGCACTGGATATAGTGAATATACTATTTAGATTTTTTAAATAGAGGCGTTATATTTTTATTTTTTTAAATTGTGTGCAATTATTACTATTTTTGGCTCTTTTTTTTTCAATCAAAATTAATGATAGAGATATTTAACGCTTTCAGCGTAAAATTGAAATAAATATTTATTTACATAAATACTGTAAATGGGACTTCACCGGCGTCACCGAAAACTTCTAAAATTTTGCCGGGAAAAATGGTTGGTGTACACTTTATCACTCGCGGTTCGTTTGGTATTTTTTTTTACCTTTTGTATATATATGTACTCTTTTGTATATATGCATCATCCGAATTGGTTCTCAATGGGTCTGCAGTCTACACACCGTCTGCTTCTTGCTGATATACATCAATCAAATGAAATCTGGTTTGGACAAATACTAACTGGCTCTGTATTTCGAATTCGGAATTCTGTAAAACTAACCGGGTACAAAGTACATTCAAACTGCAAAGTGAACGTATAGACTATAGAGCATAGAGAATATACTACAATCTAATTTTTTTAAATTAAATAATACTCTCATCCCGCCCCCGGAGTTTTTGTTTAAAAAAAAGATTTGATTTGATTTTTTTCACAAAATATTTTTTCCATTGTTATATTTGTTTTGCAAAAACAACTGTTTTCAATGAGAATTCCCAAAATTCCCGCCCATAATACATATTATAGGAGCTATCGAATAGTCTTCAATGTTTGGTTTTTTAAAATACCAAGAAGAGCAAAAATAAACGAGAAAAAAAACAACCTATCACAACTCTTTAAAATCGAACTGTGATTTGTTTTTAAAGAATACATAAAAACCTCCAAAACGGTCAGACAAAAAGAATATAAATAAATATGCATAGCCTTTTTGTAAAGACAATACAGAAATATGTATGAACCCCCCCCCCCCCATCAATAATGCGAATAAAAATAAATACATAAGACAGATATATGTACTGTAACTGTCTGTAACCCGCCGGCTATATATTAACCAGTGCCTCAGAGGATTCCAGGAGATTTCTGTTTTTAAGGGGGATTGTTTTTATACAAAACCCTAATTAACATACTATGCACCAACTGGATCGGAAATAAATATTTATTTTTTAAAATTTGCTGTTTCCTAAAGATACAAAAGATTTTATTTTAAGAAAATTTTAATATAGAAGTCATAGTGATAGCACACTGTATTTATTTAGCAGAAGGCCATAACCTTCTGAATTCAACAAGAAGGTTCTGAAATAAAACACGTCACCAGAATTATTTTTTTATATTTCGATTTCTTTTAATATTAAAACAAAAAAGACAAATGTGGTTTAGTTTGTGACTTTGAGACTTTGAGTTTGATATTCATTTCTATATACTATATTTATTTTTAGCCTCTCGTTATGTATTTATAAAATTGCTGATATTTAGCCTCTTTAGTTTGTCCCAATACTTTTTTTTCCATAAAATTGAATTCATGATGATGACGCTTCGAAAGTTCGCAGACGTGGAAACTGGAACGCGTGAATTAAATAGTGCCCATCTATATGTACATCCCGAACGAGATGAATATAGTAATATAGTATGTGTTACCGGACCGTATGTCGTTCAAATTACAGTACACTTTTAATAGGCAACACTAAAATAATACATCCAGTATACACTTTCTTCTTTACTTATATTTAATGCTTCTTTACCTCCATGCTGAAGTTCTCGTGCACTGAGGCCATAGTACTTTCACATATATGAATTTATAGATATAGCTGAGTTGAGTGTTTTGTAGCTCAATAGCACAGATAACAAACGCGCAGAAGCAAACAATCACACTTATGACCTTAGTCACTAATAAGGTGGTGTCAACCCTGCGGAACGATAAGAATTTGAAGCAGGTAGGGTTGCACATCACTCCACAAGCGTTTACAACACCGAGTGATTGTATAGACTTTGACACAGAATCGCTCGAATCACACACGGAATCATATCATAGTTCCGAAGAAGCTCGGACAGAAGCATACCACAGTACATCGTATATGGCAGGTCTGGAGACACCGAGTGATTGTATAGACTTTGACACAGAATCGCTCGAATCACACACGGAATCATATCATAGTTCCGAAGAAGATCGGACAGAAGCATACCACAGTACATCGTATATGGCAGGTCTGGAGCAATTATCTAGTAATGATTCTCTGGATGGGAGTGTTGAGCACGATCAAATCGTGACGGTGAATGCAAGTATACCTGATGCCGAACCAAAGGCCATTAAAAGTGCCTTTGTTGAAGACCCTGATTCTGATGCTGAATATGAATCTGGTGCTAGCATAGCAAGTTGTAGTACAGAGATCGACTCAAGTAGCGATACAGAGGTGGCGGACCACACAAATAATGAGTTCATCGCAAAGGAATGTTCGAGCGATCAAACTTCGTCAGAGACGGACAAGGAATATTCGAGCGAGGATATTTCTTCAGAGATGGAGCATAGTTCACCCGAGGTGGCGGTACGCAGCCTGAGTGATGCTTGTAGTAACATCCCTGTGAATGCATTGGCGCCGAAATTGAGTGCTACAAACACGCCTAAGCTTGGTAGCATTGTACTAGTAAAGCCCAGGGCGAGCAATGGGTTGAAAGCCGGTAGGGCTAGTCGGTTCAATGTAGTTGTAGTGGATGAGAGGCCCAAAAAAACGTCCCTGAAAGGGCGTGCGTTGTCCGGGATTACAAAGAGGAAAACAACTGCGGTGAAAGCTATACCTGCGACAGGCGCGAGTGCGTATAATGTAGGTTCGGAGTCGAGTGGATGGGATACTCAGAATGAGGAGACAGAGGCGTGCGTCGATGGAGACGATTTAAATATCAATCCTACTTTGGAACCTGGCAATTTGCAGGGTTCACGTGCTCTTTCCGATGCGAGTTTAACAAGCCTCGGATCTGTTCGCCAAGAGGGTGCAGGTTCGAAGAATGCACCAGCATCATTGGTTAGTGGCCAGCGGAGCTCGTGGTGCGTTACCGATAGAGCATATCGTACCTCATCGGAATTTGAGGGGAAAGTGTTGGATCTCGATGCGCTTCCAAATATGTCTAATCAGGAAAATTTAAAGGCAGTCCAGATGAGTGCAAGTATGTACAGTCTGGACATAAATAGCTCTGCTGTTGGTCCGACCTCGATGGAGCGTATAAAAAGCGGGCGATTCACACTAACAAGTTTGGGGTCAAATTCCTGTGAGTCGTTGTCTTTAGCAAGGGAAAAACAATGGGCGCAATCTACACCCGACTTGTACGAGAAAAGTTCCGACGTAACAGAACAAGCGTACAACAACACCAGCGCGCCTAACATTGCTGACGAAGCATCACCAACGCACTTCTCATCTTCACCTAAACCGACTCGCCCCCATGCGAATAATCGGTTCACAGCGTGCGCTGCCAGCGCTAACGTCTCACCTGTACGCACATCGAAGACGAATAACAAGTCTCTGGGCCGTTTTATTGTACGCACGAGGTCAGATAGTGTGCCCAGGATTCGCACGCCGGTGCCTCCTATGCACAACTCTCAAATGCCCAGCCCAAGATCCAACAGTGAACAGTATCCCCCCGGACGGATGAGTTTGCTAGGGAGTGCACATGGTGCACATTATCGGAGGAAACATAGTGTCTTTGCAGAGCCGGATGGACATAATGTGGGTGTTATTTCGGGAACCAACTACTCGACTCGTAGGTCGTTCTCAGCTTCTGAACAGGCTACTGTTGTGCGCAAAATTCCCTCAGCTGATAGCGGAGTGACGCTCACGCACGCTTCTCACAGTATTAAAGATCCAACGAGTGCGAACGCCATTACGAGCATATATCCGGAGCAGATAGCACCTGGTATGAATCTGAATGCCAGCGCAGCCAATGTCTACGGGCACAATAGCGGGACGCATAACGGTGCGGATACTTCTCTGACTCCGGTGTCTCTAGCAATGTTGCCTAGCAAGTCCCCTTTGGGCATCAGACACAGGCCGAGTGCCCCCATGATTACACAGCAAGTGGTGCACACTGAGACGTACGCACAGGGACCTGTGCGTATACGAGCGATGAAGGCGCATCAAGCCGAAGCCAATTATCTCGCACAGTCACACGTGCAAGGCGAAGACACGTCTATCTCATCCCAGACTCAGAGTGCGAATCGTGTGAACGGTACAGGGGGTAGTCGGAAATACTCTCAGCCGAGCGTATATCAGCAGAGCGGGTCGCCACAGTATGGTGCACCAGATATGCCGATCGCGAGAAGTCAATCGGAATCGTTCGCTGAACAACTGTCTATGCAGCTTGGTCAGCAACCAACAGGACAACAGTTACTCACACGCACGCATACCATCACCCAGGGTCATGTAGCGGCAAACCCTGAGAGGGTGGAGATGATGAACGCTGCCACGGCGCAGACGAACTCAATGTTGCAGGATATGATGGGCATGATGACGAATATGAAGACGTTGATGGTCGAGCAGGAAGTCAAGGCGGAGATGCGCGTGCGGAAAATCAAAGAGGAATTGACGCAGCAAATGCACCAGCAACACGTGGAGGCGTGTGCGAGGATACAGGCGTTGGAGGAAGCGTGCAGAGCGAGGGAAAGTGCGGTACAACTGCTGATGCGCGAGAAGAAACGGAACTTTGAGGCCAGCGAGGATGCCTGTCAGGATTCGATGTTGGACACCATTGCCATGCAGGGGTATGACATCGACTGTCTGAGAGCTGAGAACTCGAGATTGAGGGCGTCGGCCAAATGTGTGTGAGTTAGGATATGTGAACGCGGATATTTGAGGAATGGGGCTTTCCTTCGTAAATACAGTTAGACTCCAAGGAGCTGGGGAGTGAGATGGACAACCACAAACTGGGTGTACGAAGTATCACCAAATCATATGGCCAATGAGCCAAATTTGCACCGAAATTCTCCATTGGAGTTTCTCTTACGTAGAAACATGGTAATTTCAAATGTATAAATACGGTAATTGATAAAGATGATGAGGAGGGTTCTGAAAGTGTCACTCACTACACTTGCAGAGCATGTTTTGTAAGCAATATATTTATTCGCTGATTTATCTTTTCACCGTTGTTGATGTGAGCGTGCAGACTACTATGTACTGCTGTTTTATCGGAATAACAACGGTGCATGCGCAAGACATCTAAGTACCGAACAACTATCACTTCAGTAAATTATCAGATCCCCGTGGCGTCTCTCGATTAAAGTCACGGTATGGTTCCTCCGGCTCCTTCCCATATGACTCATAGGGCGATACACAGTCTATCTAACGTTTGCATAGACAGCCACGCGTATAGCATCACTGAGTTTGCCGAAAATTGATCACCTCAATGCAACCACATCACGGCACCCGCAATATGCCGCATATGTACTCATCTACGATTGAAAAAAGTGATCGATGCTTGAGTTGCTCCATGAGCAGTTTCACAGAGTATGACGCATATAGAGACCATGTATATACCCCACCAATGCCCCATACATTGATGTATCTCAACGCAACCACTAGTGTACCATCGGGCACTCGGCTGCGTGCCTTCGAATACTAATTCACGGTTGGCATTGCTCGATGTACACATGTATATATATGAGCAGCCAATTAAGAGATTCTCTCTGTTATGTAGCTCTGTATATATCCGTGGAGCTAGTTCAAACATCCATAGCTTTCGTCTGCCGGCAGGGCAGTGCAGGACCCCTTTCCCAGAGATAAGTTGTTCTCCACTCAGAGTCCCAGACTGTACTGGCACCCTACCAGTCTGCCACCCTCGGCCTCATTCCTCAGCGAGAGGCATACTACCTCTAATCACGTCACCAGCAGAGTCACTGCTCACCAGGCACCAGTTCAATCAGCAGTTCACCACTCACCACTCACAAACTACTGGGGCTGTTATTTGGGCGCTCATACGGCGTAGGCCATAGTCCTGCAGATCCCGATTGAGGTGATCTGATGAGATATGGTGCATTTTCTATCATAGTGATGTCGTATAGACGTAGGTGACTACTCTGCAGACATATCATCGTGCTGCGTATTCTTTCTTCACATCGGTCGCAAGCATTGTACATATGAATGTAGCTACATCATGCAGTCCTTCTCCAATACCCGTCATCGTAGCTACACACAGAATGTGCGTTCATATGTGGCAAGACTCTCTGACGGCGCCCAGAACTACGAGTTGACCACAATCAGATCAATGATAGACTAGATGACTATGGACCTAGTGTCCGGCTGTATGGTACTCTTGGGTAATTAACAATTCTAACTTATTGCCAACCTGGTGTACCGGCTACGGCGCCTGTTAAAACTAGGCTATAAATAGATTCGCTGTCCCGACATACTGCTATGTAGAGTCCTGAGAGCTATGGTCGTATGGATACACAGCTAAGAAGATTAGTGGCCTGGCACCCTTGAGATTTCTTGGACGACACCTGTGGTTGCACCCGTCGCATGTCGACTGAGCATACTACCAATAATTGAGGTGCTGGTTTCCACTCAGGTTCACTTAACTGGAGATCCATTCAGGATCGCTTAACTGATGTCCCATTCAGGATCACATAACTGGAGCACCATTCAGGATCACTTAGCTGGAGATCCATTCATGATCACAAAACTGATGTCCCATTCATGATCACTTAACGGAAGTCCCATTCAGGTTCACTTAACGAAAGTCCCAT